GGTTGCGCTTGCACATTACAGAGCCATAGACATCTGCAGGATCCCATCATTCATCTAAGTGGTGCAGCTGTGGCTGCTTTCTATAGAAAACGAACTGGAAGATTTTGCACACCTGGAATGTGTTCAGTGGATTTAAACAATGTTATAAAACACTACCGGGTACGTTCTGTAGTGGAAGGCAGAGAATTTGCGGGGGGGGGGGGGGGGGGGGTTTCTTTTTAAAGGAGAGCACCTTTAAATGCCATTACGCTGTGTGCTAAAGTAGCAGGTCCGGTGTTTAAAGGGCTTGCCTGTCCTTTGGATATGTGTAGAGGGAATTCTGAGACGTAAGACAGCAGGTCAGGCATAGCCCGCAGGTTCAATAGACTGACGGAAGAAAAGGGCTTTGTGCCCGGATGTAATGTGCCCGCGTGCAATGTTCAGAGAGCCACGAGGTTCCCCGTGCGACATGCCTCTCCTAAAACAACGACCCTGCAGAGCTCACCGTGCCTTGTATGTTCCATGTGTTACTGTCGGCTGATTGCAGACCTTTTTCTTTATGTGTTTTATAGTTTTGCATAAATATGTTAAAAGCAATTCTGTGTTTGTGTCATTTGTTCTGTGCTTTTTATCCCAGTTCCCTGAAGAACTACTGCTGCAGGGCTGCACAAAATCACGTGTATATATTTGTGATTTTGCATTTTGCGGGTAGGGGGCGCACGCGCGCCACCCTGCTCAAACTGCCATTGGTGGCTACAGCTGTCGGTACCGGGTCCTGGCCGGAGATTCCCCGCTGGTACCTGGCGATCACCGAGGAATAGTGAAAGGGAGAGGTCTGTATGTAAACAACACAGATCTCTCCCCTGTCAGCACCGACATGCTGCTTTGTATGGCTCTGCATAGCAGAGCCATACAAAGTAGCATGTCTCCCTAGTAAACCGCACACAGTGCAAAACAGCACACAGTTAACCCGTTTGATTGCCAGAGATGTTAACCCCTTCCTGCCCAGTGCCATTAGTACAGCGTCAGTGCTTTTTAGTAGCACTGAACACTGCATTGGTATCACTGGGGATGTCAGTGACACCGTCAGTTCCCTCCCGGTGTCAGAATGCCTGCCGCAATCCCGCTATAAGTTGCTGATTGCCGCCATTACTAGTAAGAAAAAAATAAACCTATATATACCGCTACTTGTGACCCACATGGAAGAAAAATATATTTTAAAAATATTCTTCCCAAATATATTGACATATATTTGAAATGCTACAATTTTGGCCATATTCAATATATATATATATATATCTATATAGATATATATTTATATCTATATAGATAGATATATATACCACAAAATATTTTTAAAAATATATATATTTTTTAAATATATTGAGATTTTTTTTTTAACATAAAAAGTCATTTTAACATATATTTTTTCATATATTTGTAAATGTATTCCAAAAATGTTGATTAAATGTATTTTTAAAGACATACATTATATTTGAAAATTTATTTTAAAAAATATTTTTCTTTTATTTTGTAATAACGCATTTCAACATACAATATATATATATTTATTGAAATGTATTGTGAAATATATTGAATACGGCCAAAATTGTAGTATTTCAAATATATGTTAGTAGATTTGGGAAGAGTATTTTTTAAAATATTTTTTTTCTTCCATGTGGGAAACGCTATAATTTCCACATAAACCAATTAATTTACACGTATTGGGATTTTTTTTTTTTAGCAAAGACATGTCGTGGAATACATTTTGGCCTCAATTTAAGACGAAATTTGATTTTTAAAATTTTTTATTATTTTTAATTTTTTTTGCTTTTTTTTTTTTATATAGGCTCCTTTTAATATATTTACTTTTACATGATGTGAAAAGCTTTTTTTTTTTACTTTTAATAGGCTCCTTTTAATATATTTACTTTTACACGATGTGAAAAGCTTTTTTTTTTTTTTTAATAGGCTCCTTAATATGTTTACTTTTACATGATGTGAAAAGCTTTTTTTTTTTTCTTTTTCTTTTTTTTTTTTTAATAGGCTTCTTTTAATATGTTTACTTTTACATGATGTGAAAAGCTATTTTTTTTTTTTTTTTTTTTTAACATGGTTTTATACTGTGAGATCTGTCAGCCCACATGCGTACTTAAGCTAAGCCCCCCTGTTTTATAGCCCGTTGGCAAGCAGGGGTTAAACTTGACTGCCATTGTTTCCTAGGGGCCAGTTCTCTGGAAAAAACTGTCAGTCTCATCACATCCATTCTCTGGTCCAGAGTGCCAGCTAAGCACATGCCTTTTATCAGGAACCCAACCAGCTCCCAGCTTGAGGGGATCATTGACCCTTTTCTGCCAGCTTTGGGGTGGGCAGTATCCCGAGTTAAAAGAATTTTACCTGCGTCGACAGAAACCATCCAAAGTGACCACGAGCATCATGGGGTTTTTTTTGGACGGCAGCCTAGTCTGATCCTTTTCTGCGTTGTACTCCATCGGAGTGACATCTCTGTTCCCTCAGTCACCTCTTCTAAGGACACATCAAACAGGTAAGAATTTTTTTTTTCTAATGACCAAAGTTGCACACATTTACCATTTGCCTGATTTATCAGAAAAATTCTGTCTCTCTTTTTTTTTTTTTTTTTTTTTTCTACGATGTACTAAAATTCAGGAAAAAATGTAATTTATAACAAAAGAGATTGTGCTTTATTTGGTGGGGGAAAGCCTCCAAATAAACACATTTTCCCTTCCCCTGGTTTGTGAATAAAAAAATTTCGTCATTTAATTTTATTTTTTAATTTTTTTTTACGGCATATGGGAAAAAAACTAAAATGCAGGATAAATACATTTCTAACAGGAGTTCATGCATTTAAAAAAAAAAAATCAAGTTTCCAAATAAACATTTTTTAACTTACCGGAGTTAGAAATCTAAATAATCCTGTTAAAAAAAGTAGGGGAGACAATTTTTTTTTTCTAACAAGTTTGTGCATTTTTTTTTTTAAATAAAGTTTCCAAATAAACACATTTTTATACTTGTCTGATTTGTTAGAGAAAAACATCTGTCTCCCCTCTTTTTTTTTTTTTTATGGGAGAAAAACTAAAAGTCAGGAAAAATTTTATTTTCTAATAAGAGATTATGCTTTCTTTTTGGGAAACAAAGTTTCCAAATGAATACATTTTATGCTCTCCTGATTTATGAAAACAATTCTGTCTCCCCTTCATTTTTTTTTTTTTTTTTTACTGCATACTGGAGAAAAACTAAAATACAGGATAAATCTCTAAGAATTTTTTGTGCAATTTTTTTTTTTTTTGGAAAATAAATTGCAGTTGTTCCTTGTAACGGTTGCTGGGGTTTGACCTAACGGCTGCGGTTAAAACCAGGGATGAGCAAATCGATTTTGCAAGCGTAATGAATTTGTTCATCTTTTTTTGGTCACTGCAATTTTTTTTTTCTCTTTGCATAAGCAGGTTCACGCAGATCAGAACTCATCTGTTGTGAATTGGTTTTACAAATCGAGGTAAAAAGGATTTGTATAATCATAAATCCCCAGCGCCAATGAAATGTGTACCAAATTAATACAATTTAAATTAAATGCTGCTGTACATAAGTACAATATACACCAAAAAAACATAAAAACATCATTAACAATGCAAATAAATATAAATCATATAAAAATTATATATATATATATACAAATAGTCCCACTCCAAAACTCGTGAAAAAATTGTGAAAAAAATAATAATTATTATATATATATATATATATATATATATATATAATTTATATATTAAGTGCCAAAGGACAAAAATAAAAAAACAAAAAAGTCCTTGTTCCAAAGAAGTGTGCTTCCACCATAAAATCAGTGCTTTAACCAATTAATGGTGGAAGCACACTTCTTTGGAACAAGGACTTCTTTTTGTTTTTTGATTTATTTCAGGTACTTTAGTGCCGTCAATTTACGCAGCGCTTTACATATTTTATTGTACATTCACATCAGTCCCTAACCCTCAAGGGGCGTACAATCTAAGGTCCCTAACTCACATTCATACATACACATATTAGGGCCAATTTAGACAGGATCCAATTAACCTACCAGCATGTCTTTGGAGTGTGGGAGGAAATCGGAGCACCCGGAGGAAACCCACGCAAGCACAGGGAGAACATGCAAACTCCATGCAGGAGGCACCATGGTCGGGAATCAAACCCATGACCCATTTACTGCAAGGCAGATGTGCTAACCACTAAATATATATGTATGTATGTGTATAATATATATATATATATAATTTTTTTTTTTTTTTTTAGATGTTTCATATTTAATTATTTGTGGTGTTTATGATGTTTTTTATAAAAAAGATTTGTAAGTGGCTTGAATCTTTACAACTCATATCGAAATATGAATAGAAATATTAAAAAATATATAAATAATACATTTGTATTAATGTAAAAAAAAGGAGACTGAATAAATTAGCCTATTCTTTTTTTTTTTTTTTTTTTTTTTTTTTGTTTTCGAAAAAAAAAATAAACTTTTGCTGTATATCTGGACCACAAACCTGTCAGTTATTCTGCAATAATTAGGTGTGCCCCCACTTACGTGGACACTTCATGCAAGTGTGTACTAAAAATTACAGCGACTGCACAAATTAAATTTAATAGCCCCCCCGGCAAATCAGTATTTAGGGGTAACATTTTTGTAACATTTATTAAGTACCCTTTTAAAATTATTTTTTTCAATTGTTTAGCTGCTTTTTTTAAAAAAAAAATAATAAAATCACGCGTGTTGTTGTTGATATTCTAGTATCACAATATTGGCAGCAGATTATGTAAACACCATTCCAAACGGGTTCAAATTTTGATATACAAATGTGTAGAGATCGTTCACTTAGTTTAGTTTTCAATGGTCAATCATCCAATCGGGTACAAGTAATTTTTTTTTTTTCCCTTGTACATGATTATTCAAAGTATCCACAGCTTTATCTTTTTACTAACTAATTGTACAGTGGAGGCAGGGGTGGACTGACAACTCATGGGGCCCCCGGGCAATAGGGGATCATGGGGCCCCTGTGTCCTTGCCCAAACTCAAAAAAGCCTATGAAAAAGGTACCAGGGGCATCTCATGGGGCCCCCTACTGACCCTGGGCCCTCCGGCTGTGCCCGAGTTTCCAAATGGTCAGTCCGCACCTGGGGAGGGAGCATTTTTAAAATGGTCAGTCCGCCGCTGAGTGGAGGTGACTGAATAGAGTCCGTTTTTACCCAACAAAGTTGATAAGGTGAAGCTGTGTTCACTTTGAACAGCCAATCATGTGCTAGGGAAATAAAAAAGTAAGACTGGAGGATTCAAGATGATCAATGTGAACACAGCTTCATTTTATTCATTAAGCTGAGTAAACATTCACTTTCCTAGGTTGAAAGATTGTACACTTTGAGTAAATGACCTCCCCCCCACTCCATGGACCAAATAGGTCCTGTTTTCGTATCCACAGCCTGGGTTCAAAGACAGAATCTGTGATTGAATGATTCTAATTTGCACTGCACATTTTTGCAACATGCAATATAAATTTAAAGGGCTGGGATAGCCAAAAATTTTTAGCTAGTTGGGTTTGCTCAGTTGCCCTCATATTTTTTTTTTCGTTCTCCAAAGCTAGTTATATTTTCAAGTGAACATTCAGTGACTTTGAAAATTCGCTTTTAGCATTCCATTGAATGTAATTTCTCAAACGAAAACAAATTAGTTCATTCGGTAAATGTTTTCTATCCTGCTCCTTCTAAATTCTTCCATCACTAGGGTCAAAAAACAATTTGTAGAAAACCAAATGACTATTCCTAGAATGGAACATTTTGTACAAAGTTCTAGGTTACGGCCATCCTGAAGTGTTCGTTCACCTTGTTCAGAATAAATAATACAAACCCCCTGGTCCCATTTGTACCTACCTCTGGAGATGCTGAGATGTCAGAGCTCACCTAGGCAGTCCAAAGGTCTGGGGATTTGAAATCCCCGCTCTGCTCCCTCTATCAGTGCTTCTAGGATGGACCAGGCGGATTGTAATTGGTCTGACCAATCAAAATCCATTTGGATTTTTTCAGCTCTGAGGAAGAAGGGATCCCCTTTGAAACGCGTCAGTGGAACTTTGTGCTTGTTTTTACTTCTTTGTGAGTATAGATCTCATTTTAATAAAATCAGTTTATTGAGGTAATGCAAAAGGTTGGACAATCTTGAGGCACCCCTGAAGAAACCTCAAGGCACCCCTGAAGAAACCTCAAGGAACCCCAGGGTGCCTGGGCACCCTGGTTGAGAAAGGCTGCTTTAAACCCACAGATACTGCTCTTTGCTGGCTCCCGGGTATAAAGGAGCACGTGACCTTCTCCCCCTACTCTGTGCTCATGATGGCACATAGCTTCAGCAGATGACCACAGCATCGAAAAAGTGCCCCAAAAGTATCTCTGAGTGGAGTGCTCTAGCGTGAGACCCTGAATAGGTTTTGGAAAGGAGCCACCAATAAGAAGTGTAATATTACAGAATGTTGAACCTATTTCTAAGGCTCAATGGCCCGGGGAAGGGTGCTCATTGGACAGGGTTACACTAAGGTTACCCTAATCCAAATACAGAAAAAGAAAGATGGCGTGAAGATAGGAAAACACTGATGTATGGGGTTTGGATTCTGTATCACTCAATTAAAATTCATATAAATTCAGTTTGTTAGTTGTGCTATTCGATTCCCTACATATAGGCCCTGATGAGGGAGTGTTCAGACCTCCGAAATTTGTCGGCTTTTTTTTCCAATTATTTGATGAATGAATAAAATTTCCTTGGACTCGTTTTGTGGTTTGGTGCTCTTCAAGCTATCTTTCTTTTTTTCGCAAGAGACCCCTCACTTTGTCCTCAGTGGGCAATATTACAAATTGTCTTTAAGTCATGACACTCCATGATGAAAATTTTGGAAACTCAGTGGAAAGCTTCACTAGGTGAAGTGAAATCCCACTTTTAACAGTCGTCTCCAGAGCAAGGATCACCAATGGAGATCCTTGTTATCCAATGGAGATCTTAGAGATCCAGTTGGAGTTCCTGTGGCATCTATAAAATGTTGGGTTTCCCCTCGCTTTCTGTCTTAATGACATTGACTGCAAGGACAAAAAAGTAGGTGGAATCACCCCGGTAGGGACAGAGAAGTAACGGTAAAACCATAGGAGAGGTCCCGTACAGCGATCGGTGCCGCGCGCTCCCAGGAAGTGCGCACAGGCAATGGATGCAGGGGGACGTGTAGAAACGTCCTTCTGCATTGGCAGCGCTCCCAACCGACAGTTTATCGACATGGGCCGAACGGGAAGTGGTTAATAACATAATGAATGCCGATGCGGGAGGACGTTTCTAAATGTCCCCCCACATCCATTGCCTGTGCCACTTCCTGGGAGCGTGCGGCACCGATCGCTGTACGGGACCTCTGTGTGAAGCCTTGATTCATGTGATCACTGATTGGCCAATCAATGATCACATGAATAGTAGTAAACAAGATGTCACTTCCTGACATTGCTTACTACTTGTGAAATCTGTGAATGATCACAGAGATCACATGGTACAGGGCCATTCACAACAGCCTTGTACCATGTGACAAGCTGTGACCAATCACAACTCTCACAATATTTCTCAATGGCTGCAAGGAATGCAGCCAGAGAGAAGGAGAAATGATTGCTTTTACAGCCTTCATCACCCCCCACAAGTAGTACAGTGTCACTATGGTGACACTATTGCTAGGGTGACCATATGTTTAAAAAAAACAAAACAAACAAATAATAATATAAAAAGATAAAATAAAAATGTAAAATAAAATGTTTAAAAATTATAAAATTTTGGTTATAAACTAATTTGGGTTATTTTTTTTTTACTAAAAAGATAGATTAATACATTTTGGCCAAGATTTATGAAGAAAGATTATTTATTTGCAAAATTTTTTTTTTTTTTTTACAAACTTTTTGGACTTTTTCATTTATAGAGCAAAAAAATAAAAATCTCAGGTGAATAAATACCACCAAAATAAAGTTTTATCTGTCTCAAAAAAATGCTAACAAATTCATATGGGTACAGTGTTGCATGACCGCGCAATTGTCATTCAAAGTGTGAAAGCTGAAAATTGGCCTGGAAGGGGGTGAAAGTGTCCGGACTGGAAGGGGGTGAAAGTGTCCGGACTGGAAGGGGGTGAAAGTGTCCGGACTGGAAGGGGAGGAAAGTGTCCGGACTGGAAGGGGGGAAAGTGTCCGGACTGGAAGGGGAGGAAAGTGTCCGGACTGGAAGGGGGGAAAGTGTCCGGACTGGAAGGGGGGAAAGTGTCCGGACTGGAAGGGGGTGAAAGTGTCCGGACTGGAAGTGGTTAACCGTTGCGCACTCTTTCTCTCTGGCTATATAGCTGGTTGACTGATGCCACCGGCCCATATAATGATATTAATGATTCCATTTTTTGGGTAAGAAACAAAAAGTCACAAACATGACCATCCTGGCAGAGTATAAAGTTGCTGGTCTGTCATTCCTGCTACTTTTGCATTTCTCATGTCATCCCCTGTTTTTGTAAAGATGGACCTAGAGGAGACATGCCAAGGATTGCTCCTCATGGCAAGGATTGCTCCTCATGCCAAGGATTGCTCCTCATGCCAAGGATTGCTCCTCACGCCAAGGGTTGCTCCTCACACCAAGGGTTACTCCTCACACCAAGGGTTACTCCTCACGCCAATGGTTACTCCTCACGCCAAGGGTTACTGCTCACGCCAAGGGTTACTGCTCACGCCAAGGGTTACTGCTCACGCCAATGGTTACTCCTCACGCCAAGGGTTACTCCTCACGCCATGGCTTGCTCCTCACGCCAAGGGTTGCTCCTCATGCCAAGGATTGCTCCTCTTTCAGTCCATCTATCCATACCGTTGTTGTATAACATATTTGTTTGACTGATACAAACCGTCTGTAACAAAGTACTTACCCTATCCTGTCTTATCTCTCCTGTAGACGTTGTGTCTAGCTCCACCACACCATCAGGATGTACAGTTTTATGGGTGGAGGCCTCTTCTGTGCCTGTGTGGGCAACATACTTCTAGTGGTCTCCACAGCCACTGACTACTGGATGCAATACCGCCTATCTGGAGCCTTTGCTCACCAGGGCCTCTGGAGATACTGCGTGACTGGAAAATGTTACATGCAGATAGAGAGTATCGGTAGGTACTTAAAGGATGATTCAACCAGGAAACCTGTGCTGAGACCTTCAACGATCTTTCTTTCTAAAAATGCTGTTTGCTTAGTTTTCCTGCTCAGTTAATGATGGCAAGACCACTGACCTAGAACAAGCCTTCATAGCCAAGAGTGCTTTACCTGTTGTTACTTGTACCCTCAAGTCAGGTTGGCCATCAAGGACCTTGCTATCTCATGACAAGCCTGAAGACTCCTGGTTTAGCAGGATCTATTTGGGTTGGGCAGGATGCCCCAATTAGATGTTTTGCAAAGTGGTCTGTCTGCAATTCAGTTGGGTTAATTGAGAACTATCGGGCAAAGACAGAGGTAGTCTTGAGGCCGGTCTTCAGGCAGTAAGAAGGTTAAAGTGACCTGCCATAAATGCCTCTTGAAGGACCAGCTTGAGTAAAATGAAGGTAGCCATAGGTGTCTAAATGTACTTCCCGCTGTCTTACCGGAATCCCAAAATCCAGAGACATTCTAATGTGCAATAATGAACTTTAAAAAGGCAAGTCTAGTGCTAGCCCACTTTTTCCGGCCTCCTGCACCTCACTGTTGGTCTCTAAACATGAAAGGTAGCCTCAATGGCCAATAGTGACACGCAAGAGAGAAAAAAAAGTGATTCATTCATGCTTTCTGATAACCACAGATGTCTGTAAAATTGTAGAAGCCCATGGCACATATACTGATGGTGCTCTTTTTCAAAAGGTTCTTTGTGCCACCGATTTTACATGGCTGGAACCCAGATTTGTAGATTATTCTGCGATCTTCCCCTACAAACTCAAACTGTAAATTTAGCCAACATTTAATAAGGATTATATTGGTCAGTTCTCCAACGGACATAACTGAGGGTCCCATAAACATTGCCATCAAATTGAGGGTTCTTTCAATCTTAGAAAAATTCTAGATCTGATTAGGATGGAAGTCTGTTGGAGAACTGACCAATATACAGGTGTACCTCGGTTTACGAATGAAAATCCATTGAAAATAATGGCTCGGTTTACACATTTTTTCCACAATATGAACGGATGAATTGTTTTTTTCAACCCATTTACACATTTTTTTTTTTAATCATGTCCATGTACAGTATTAATGCCTTTTAAAGTGCACTTAATAAAGAGTTTTGAACGGATACATTTTTTTTTTAACTTTTTCCTGACCTCCGGAATGGATTAATTGGTTTTCAGTACATTTACAAATTAATTTTTAATCATGTCCCTGTATAGTATTTATGCCTTTAAAGTGAACTTCATAAAGAGTTTTGAACAGATAAAATTTTTTATTACTTTTTTCTGACCTCCGGAACGGAATACTGTAATTGGTTTTCAATACATTTACACATTTTTTTTTAATCATGTCCCTGTACAGTATGTATGCCTTTAAAGTGAACTTAATAAAGAGTTTTGAACAGTAAAATTTTTTTTACTTTTTCCTGACCTCCGGAACAGAATAATTGGTTTTCAGTGCATTTAGGAATTCATTTTTAATCATGTCCCTGTACAGTATTTATGCCTTTAAAGTGCACTTTATGAAGAGTTTTGAACAGACAACATTTTTTTTTACTTTTTTCTGACCTCCGGAACAGATTAATTGGTTTTCGGTTTATTTAGGAATTCATTTTTAATCATGTCCCTGTACAGTATTTATGCCTTTAAAGTGCACTTTATAAAGAGTTTTGAACAGATAAAAAATTTTTTTTACTTTTTTCTGACCTCCGTAACAAAATACAGTATTGGTTTTCAATACATTTACACATTTTTTTTAATCATGTCCCTGTACAGTATTTATGCCTTTAAAGTGAACTTAATAAAGAGATTTGAACAGATACATTTTTTTTTTTTTTTACTTACTTTTTCCTGACCTTCGGAATGGATTATTTAGTTTTCAATGCCTTTAAGAATTAATTTTTAATCATGTCCCTGTACAGTATTTATGCCTTTAAAGTGCACTTAATAAAGAGTTTTGAACAGAGGTTTTTTTTTTCACTTTTTACTGACCTCCTGAACGGATTAATTGGTTTTCAATGCATTTACAAATATTTTTTAAATGATGTCCCTGTACAGTATTTATGCCTTTAAAGTGCACTTTATAAAGCGTTTTGACAAAAAAAAAAAAGACTTTTTTTTTTTTTCTGACCTCTGATGAATTTCTTGCTATATGAAAAGTCCCGCAGTACGAATTAAATTGGTAAACCGAGGTATGCCTGTACTCCTATCTTCCATAACAACCAGTTGCAACCTCCACTGTAGAGTCTGAAAGATTTTATTCTTCTGCACATCGCAGTGTCCAGCCCAGACATCACATGACTGACTCTTAGCCATTGGTGGGATAGGCCGATCTTCCCATGTAAAGCTATCTTTTCCCTGCTGCATCAGTTCCTGACGAATTTCCTGAGCATTCTGAATTGTCCTTGGTTCAAATTTTTTGAGATGTTATTTATTCGTCCTAGAAATCTGCTCCACGATGTTTATTTTTTATTTTGGTGAATGTTTTGTTTTCTTCCAGCTTATTGGAACGCCACACGGGCCTTTATGATCCTGTCCACCTTGTCTTGCTTTGCTGGCATCATCGCCGGGATCTTGTCCTTCGCCCACTTTTCCACTTTCCAGAGGTTTAATCGATCCTTTGCTGCAGGCATCATGTTCTTCATCTCCAGTAAGTGTTATCCTTACAATAGATGCCTTCTCATTCCAAAATTAAGAGAGGAATTGTTCAGTAAAGCAGGCCATACATGGGTCTAATTCCGAATGATTTTTTGATCGAAAATCAAAAACATTGTTCGTTCTGTAATCCGATGGTGCCAATGATTTTGAAATCGGTCGTTTTTTTTCACGATTCTTCCAACATGCTTGATAAACGAAATGGGGAGGAACTACGAAAATTGGCCGGTACCATTGTCCCACTTACAGAGGGAAAATCGGCCGATTATTCCTAGGTCCGATTTTCGAATGAAAAATCGTTTGGAAATCAACCCATGTATGGCTGGCTTAAGTGTAGGTCCGTGCTGGATGTAGAAAACAAAGTCTGGGCTAGCTCAATGCAAAACTCAATCAACATGGAAGTGGTTACTAGGTTGTTCATCCTGGGGGTCAAGGTAAAGGCTGAATGTCCATGAGTCTGTTTAAGCTTTCCTGATTAGGGCAGGTGTGCACTGCAGAAACCTGTGTTTTCAGCGTCGAGTAATATTCACAATGAGGATGAATGTTCAAAAGGTTGTTATAATAGGATAGGAGCAGGGGAGACCAGATATAGTGAATGCAGGGCCTGGGGAGACCAGATATAGTGAATGCAGGGTTCAGGGAGACCAGATATAGTGAATGCAGGGTCAGGGGAGACCAGATATAGTGAATGCAGGGTCAGGGGAGAGCGGATATAGTGAATGCAGGGTCCGGGGAGACCAGATATAGTGAATGCAGGGTCCGGAGAGAGCGGATATAGTGAATGCAGGGTCCGGGGAGAGCGGATATAGTGAATGCAGGGTCCGGGGAGACCGGATATGGTGAATGCAGGGTCCGGGGAGACCGGATATGGTGAATGCAGGGTCCGGGGAGGCCAGATATGGTGAATGCAGGGTCAGGGGAGGCCAGATATAGTGAATGTAGGGTCCGGGGAGACCAGATATAGTGAATGCAGGGTCCGGGGAGACCGGATATAGTGAATGCGGGGTCCGGGGAGACCGGATATAGTGAATGCGGGGTCCGGGGAGACCGGATATAGTGAATGCGGGGTCCGGGGAGAGTGGAGATATAGCGAATGCAGGGTCCAGGGAGAGCGGATATAGTGAATGCAGGGTCCGGGGAGAGCGGATATAGTGAATGCAGGGTCCGGGGAGACCGGATATGGTGAATGCAGGTTCCGGGGAGACCGGATATGGTGAATGCAGGTTCCGGGGAGGCCAGATATATAGTGAATGCAGGGTCAGGGGAGGCCAGATATGGTGAATGCAGGGTCCGGGGAGGCCAGATATAGTGAATGCAGGGTCCGGGGAGACCAGATATAGTGAATGCGGGGTCCGGGGAGACCGGATATAGTGAATGCGGGGTCTGGGGAGACCGGATATAGTGAATGCGGGGTCCGGAGAGACCGGATATAGTGAATGCGGGGTCCGGGGAGACCGGATATAGTGAATGCGGGGTCCGGGGAGAGCGGATATAGTGAATGCAGGGTCCGGGGAGAGCGGATATAGTGAATGCAGGGTCCGGGGAGAGCGGATATAGTGAATGCAGGGTCCGGAGAGAGGGCTATAGTGAATGCAGGGTCCGGGGAGACCGGCTATAGTGAATGCAGGGTCCGGGGAGACCAACTATAGTGAATGCAGGGTCCGGGGAGACAAGATATAGTGAATGCAGGGTCCGGGGAGACCGGATATAGTGAATGCAGGGTCCGGGGAGAGAGGATTATAGTGAATGCAGGGTCCGGGGAGAGCGGATATAGTGAATGCAGGGTCTGGAGAGAGCGGCTATAGTGAATGCAGGGTCCGGGGAGACCGGCTATAGTGAATGCAGGGTCCGGGGAGACCGGCTATAGTGAATGCAGGGTCCGGGGAGAGCAGCTATAGTGAATGCTGGGTCCGGGGAGACAAGATATAGTGAATGCAGGGTCCGGGGAGACCGGATATAGTGAATGCGGGGTCCGGGGAGAGCGGATATAGTGAGTGCGGGGTCCAGGGAGAGCAGATATAGTGAATGCAGGGTCCGGGGGAGACCAGATATAGGGAATGCAGGGTTTGGGAGAAACCAGATATAGGGAATGCAGGGTCCGGGGAGACCAGATATTGTGAATGCAGGGTCGTGGAGACCGGATATAGTGAATGCAGGGTCCGTGGAGACTGGATATAGTGAATGCAGGGTCCGGGGAGACCAGATATAGTGAATGCGGGTCCAGGGAGACCAGATATAGTGAATGCGGGGTCCAGGGAGACAGATATAGTGAATGCAGGGTCCGGGGAGACCAGATATAGGGAATGCAGGGTCATGGGAGTCCAGATATAGTGAATGCAGGATCCTGGGAGACCAGCTATAGTGAATGCGGGGTTTTGGGGAGACCAGCTATAGTGAATGCAGGGTCCAGGGAGACCAGATATAGTGAATGCAGGATCCGAGGAGACCAGATATAGTGAATGCAGGGTCCGGGGTTTAGGAAACACTTTAAATATAAATATAGTATATACTGTATGTAACATTTTTATTATAATATTTTTTCAGGTAAATTAGGGAAAGGTAAAGGCTGAATGTCCATGAGTCTGGTGTTAAGCTTTCCTGATTAGGGCAGGTGTGCACTGCAGAAACCTACGTTGCAGCATCGAGTAATATTCACAAGAGGAGGAATGTTCAAAGCTTGCTGTCATAGGATAGGAGCAGAGTGGGTCGGCATGCCATGGTGAACTTTTAGAAGAACAGTAAAAGCAAGATCAGAGAGGCACACTGAAGAGGCATTTGTGGCCATCCCAGATAATAACCGGCTCACCTTGAGCTGTATGAACTTTTGAAAAGTTGCAGACAGCTGACAGGTTCACTTTGGGATGGAATCTGCATTCTCCCTAACGCTTTGTGAACTTTCCATAATCGCACTAATCTGAGTGGCTGATTGACTAAAGCGGCGGCCAAAAAATGAGACATAAAAGAGATGTAAAAAGACCTTCCTGACAGATATAAAAATGTATTGGACAGCGCGGCGCGTGAAGTAATGTCATGTCTGTCCGTTCGGGAAAATAGATGTCTGCCGGTGACACCGCTTGTCTCCCGAGATAATGTGACATTAAAACTGCGCAACAGCCGAGAGCCGTGACACCGACACCATTTATTTCTGCGAGTGACAGACTCCTACAAATGATATTTTGTCATTATTTCACTGAAATGTCAGACGTAATTTCTACCCTTAAAGTGCTCGTCGTGAACTGCTGAGTGCATTAAGAAGTCCTATATCTTCCCTGGGACCACTCCGAACCTCATGGGAAGGACTTTACTAATCCACCATTAACCACTTCCAGTCCGGACACTTCCCCCCCTTCCAGTCCGGACACTTTCCCCCCCTTCCTGTCCGGACACTTTCCCCCCCTTCCAGTCCCGGACACTTTCCCCCCCTTCCAGTCCGGACACTTTCCCCCCTTCCAGTCCGGACACTTTCCACCCCCTTCCAGTCCGGACACTTTCACCCCTTCCAGTCCGGACACTTTCACCCCTTCCAGTCCGGACACTTTCCCCCCTTCCAGTCCGGACACTTTCACCCCCTTCCAGTCCGGACACTGTCACCCCCTTCCTGCCCAAGACAATTTTCAGCTTTTAGCACCATCGCACTTTGAATGACAACACTGTCATGCCGTTGAATTTTTTAGCATTTTTTTGAGACAGATAAAACTTTTTGGTGGAATTTATTCGCCACTGGGATTTTATTTTTTTTTTTGCTTTCACCCCTTCCAGTCCAAAAACTTTAGAAAAAAAGTGTTTTTTTATAAAATTTTGCAAATAAATACTTTCTTCCCTAAATCTTGGCCAAAATTTATTCACCCCTTTTTAGTAAAAAAAAATTAACCCACATTTGTTTATAACCAAAAATTATAATGTTTTTTTTTTTACATTTTTTTTCCATTTTATTTTTTTTTTATATTTTTTTTTTCATACTGTCACCCTAGCAGTACAGTGTCACCATGTAACCAAATTGTATTTATCTATCTTTTTAGTAAAAAAAAGAAAAAGTAACCCGGTGAGTTTATAACCAAACGGACACTGACCCCCCCTTCCTGGACAATTTTTCAAATGTTTTTTTTTGACATTTTTTTTATATTATTATTTATTTATTATTTTTTTACATACAGTCAAAACTTAGCAGTACAGTGACACTGTACTACTTGTGGGAGGTGATGAAGATTTTTTTTTTTTTTTTTTACACTGATTTCTTTTACACCCATAAAAGGCTGTAAAAAAAATCATTTTCCTCTTCTCAACTAAAATTCTTGCAGCCAATTGAGAAATACTGTGTGAGCTGTGATTTGGTCACAGCTTGTCACATGGTACAAGGCTGTTGTGAATAGCCCAGTACCATGTGACCTCTGTGATCATTCATAGATTTCACACGTAGTAAGCAATGATGTCAGAAGTGACATTTTGTTTACTACTCTTCATGTGATCACTGATTGGCCAATCAGCGATCACATGATCGGGACCTCACACAGAGGTCCCATACCGAGGATCGGTGTTCCATTGTGTCCGGAGGATATAGCGGGTTTCGCGGTGCTGCACGCTCCCGGGTACAAGCGCGCACAAGCAGGGAGCGGGGAGGACTTTTTAAACGGCCACCAAACCCTGCACTGCCACTGTCCGGCCGTTTATATACAACGGCCAGACAGGAAGGGGTTTAAAATGTTACTAAACCCACAACAGTAACATCAGTCTGTATATACAGTAAAGCATGCTTGTTATACTCACTGTGGAGCCTAAGGGGTTAATCCCCTGCATTGTGTTGAGAAGGCCGTTTGATCCTGATTGCTTGTTTTTGTTTAAGCGACCACCTTTTCCCCTCTGATAAGACAGAACTGAACGACAGGCATTTTGCACATGCTCAATTTGGGAGTGTGTATTGCTAGAGACTTTTTTTTTTTGGGAGAGTGCATGTGATCACACAGGGCCAATTGGCCCTGTCCAATCAGAAAGGGGTTCTGCATCCTCCTAGAGCAATCAGATTTCTCCTCCTATAAGCTTTAACCAGTGCTCTGCTGGACACTGATAGAAGTCACAAAACTGCTTTTATATGCTGATGAGAAAAGGCATTTAGCAGTTTGATTTGCTAAAATAATTGCATTTTTACATGTTCTGTGTACTGTGAGAGACCCAGTACCAGATTCATAGGGGGAATGCAGGGTCCGGACGGAGACCCGATATAGTGAATGCAGGGTCCCGGGGAGACCAGATATAGTGAATGCAGGGTCCAGACCAGATTTAGTGAATGCAGGGTCCGGGGAGACCAAATATAGTGAATACATTCCGGGGAGACCGGATATAGTGAATGCAGGGTCCGGTGAGAGCGGATTATAGTGAATGTGTCCGGGGAGACCAGATATAGTGAATGCAGGGTCCGGTGAGAGCGGATATAGTGGTGCTGCGGGGTCCGGGGAGACCAGATATAGTGACATGTAGCAGGTCCGGGGAGACCGGATATAGTGAATGCAGGGTCTGGGAGACCAGATATAGTGAATACAGGATCTGCGTAGACCGGATATAGTGAATGCAGGGGCCGGGGATATCCAGATATAGTGAATGCGGGGTCCCCTAGGGGTTAGACCAGATTATAGTGAATGCAGGGTCAGTTTGGATAGTAGCCGGCTTGATATAGTGAATGCCCCTGGGAGTGCCATATAGTGTGCGGGGAAGGCCGGTTTGATATAGTGAATGCTCTGGTCCTCCCCTTGTTTAAAATGCAGGGTCCACCTTTTGCGGATATAGTGAATGCAGGGTCCGGGGAGACCGACAGGCATAGTGACATGCTCAGTTCAGGAGATCAGATATAGTGAATGCTGTGTCTGGGGAGACCGGATATAGTGAATGCAGGGTCCAGGGAGACCAGATATAGTGAATGCAGGGTCCGGGGAGACCAGATATAGGAAATACAGGGTCCGGGGAGACCAGATATAGTGAATACAGGGTCCGGGGAGAGCGGATATAGTGAATGCGGGGTTTTCGGGGAGACCAGATATAGTGAATACAGGATCTGCGTAGACCGGATATAGTGAATGCAGGGGCCGGGGGATACCAGATATAGTGAATGCGGGGTCCGGGGAGACCAATATAGTGAATGCAGGGTCCGGGGAGACCGGATATAGTGAATGCAGGGTCCGGGGAGACCAGATTTAGTGAATGCAGGGTCCGGGGAGAGACCAGATATAGTGAATACAGGGTCCGGGGAGAGACCGGATATAGTGAATGCAGGGTCCGGTGAGACCAGATATAGTGAATGCAGGGTCCGGGGAGACCAGATATAGTGAATGTAGGGTCCGGGGAGACCGGATATAGTGAATGCATGGTCTGGGGAGACCAGATATAGTGAATACAGGATCTGCGTAGACCGGATATAGTGAATGCAGGGGCCGGGGATACCAGATATAGTGAATGCAGGGTCCGGGGAGACCGATATAGTGAATGCAGGGTCCGGGGAGACCGGATATAGTGAATGCAGGGTCCGGGGAGAGCGGATATAGTGAATGCAGGGTCCGGGGAGAGCGGATATAGTGAATGCGGGGTCGGGGAGAGCGGATATAGTGAATGCAGGGTCTGGGGAGACCAGATATAGTGAATGCAGGGTCCGGGGAGATCAGATATAGTGAATGCTGTGTCTGGGGAGACCGGATATAGTGAATGCAGGGTCCGGGAGACCAGATATAGTGAATGCAGGGTCCGGGGAGACCAGATATAGTGAATGCAGGGTCCGGGGAGACCAGATATAGTGAATGCAGGGTCCGGGGAGACCAGATATAGTGAATGCAGGGTCCGGGTAGACCGGATATAGTGAATGCAGGGTCCGGGGAGACCAGATATAGTGAATGCAGGGTCCGGGGAGACCAGATATAGTGAATGCAGGGTCCGGGGAGACCAGATATAGTGAATGCAGGGTCTGGGGAGACCAGAATATAGTGAATGCAGGGTCTGGGGAGACCAGAAATAGTGAATGCAGGGTCCTGGGAGACCAAAATAGTAAATGCTGGGTCTGGGGAGACCAGAATAGTGAATGCAGGGTCTGGGTAGACCAGATATAGTGAATGCAGGGTCCGGGGAGACCAGATATAGTGAATGCAGGGTCCGGGGAGAGCGGATATGGTGAATGCGGGGTCCGGAAGACCAGATATAGTGAATGCGGGTCCGGGAGACCAGATATAATGAATGCAGGGTCCGGGGAGACCAGATATAATGAATGCAGGGTCCGGGGAGACCAGATATAATGAATGCAGGGTCCGGGGAGATCAGATACAGTGAATGCGGGGTCCAGGGTTTAGGAACACTATAAATATAAATATAGTATATACTGTATGTAACATTTTTATTATAATCATTTTTCAGCTAAATTAGGGAATGTAAAGGGCCTCTTTGCCCCCATTAGGTGCGGTGTAATGCGTTGCTGTTTGCATGTCGATGTGCAGTAATGGCGCAAGATAATGTGCATTACGTTAAAGTGGTTGTAATCGCTTCCATATGCCCAGTGAAGTGATTGGCCTCTGGTGGTACCCAGAGATGAAACCCAATCCTCCTACACAAGTTGTACCTGTTTATCTGCTGTATTCTCTTCTCTGCAGCTATCCAAAGTCCAGAATTTATAAAGCTTGTCCGAACTTTCAGCCTTTTGGAGAGTTGAAATTACACTCTGTAGAGCTCCGAGAGCTGAATGGAGGGAAGAGACACCCCACCCCTCTCCACACAGTTCTCAGAGACAGAACTGAGGCTGTCAATCACAGAATGTGTGCTGGAGCTCCCTCCCCTGTCACCTTTTTGCCTCTTGGTGTAAGGAAATGAGCAGAGGAATGAGGCAGCAGACAGAAATGACACTTAATGCTCTGGACTGAGACAAGTACATACTATAGAGGGATATGCTTTGTTCATATTTCATGTCTGAGGTTTACAACCACTTTAACACAGCCAATTTGTTTTGAGTGGGCCACCAATGCAGCACAATACACTAAACAATGGACCGAAGTCTTTTTCAGGAATGCATGACACCGCAGCACACACAAGGTTCCCCTCCGCTTGTTGCCATATGTTAAAATCTCTCACCAGCAGGGTTTACAGAAAGTAAGAAAACCCCAACAGAGTTCCTAAACTCACACTTCTGTACCAAAAGTAAATAAAAACATTGAAATATAAAAAAAAAATTGTCTTTATACTTTAAGGGCTCATTTACACTTTTCAGACAGCTCCCGCATTTCATTCAGCACAGGTCCACTTTAATTCTTTGCACATTGTTGTTGCGAATATTTCCATTTTCCTCATATACCGAGTCTCTTTGTTTTTATCCCCCGCAGCCCTCTTTGTTCTTCTGGCCATGGCCATCTACACCGGGGTAACCGTTAATTTTCTGGGCAAGAGGTTCGGTGATTGGCGCTTTTCCTGGTCCTACATCCTGGGCTGGGTGGCTCTGCTTATGACCTTCTTTGCAGGTAAGATTTGAAGTACATGATGGTATCTACCTACCTATGTACCTACCTACCTGTCCATCTCTCTCTCTCTCAAAAGGTGATATATATATATATATATATATATATATATATATATATATATAACTTGTACTCTGGGGACATATAAATCATTATCTATCTATCGCTATCTATCTATTGATCAATCTATCTTTACCTGTCCTATCCACTCTCTCTCTCTCTCTCTCTCTCTCTTTTCTCTCTCCCCCCCTCTCTCTCTCCCCCCTCTTTCTCTCTCTCCCCCTCTCTCTCCCCCCCCCTCCTCTCCCTCTCCTCCTCTCTCTCCTCCTCTCTCTCTCTCCCCTCTCTCTCCTCCTCCTCCTCTCTCTCTCCCCCTCTCTCTTTCTCCCCCCTCTCTCTCCCCTCTCCCTCCCTTCTCTCTCTCTCCCTCCTATCTCTCTCCCCCCTCTCTCTTGCTCTCCCCCCTCTCTATCTCGCTCCCTCTCCCTCCTCTCTCTCTCTCTCCCTCCTCTCTCTTTCCTCCTCTCTCTCTCCCTCTCTCTCCCCCCTCTCTCTCCCCCCTCTCCCTCTCTCTCCCCCCTCTCTCTCCCCCTCTCTCTCTCTCTCCCCCCCCTCTCTCTGTCCCTCTCTCCCTCCTCCCTCTCTCTCTCTCTCCCCTCTCTCTCTCACCTCTCTCTCCCCCCTCTCTCTCCCCCCTCTCTCTCTCTTTATCTATCTCTATCTTTGTGATATCATAATTAACCCCTTTCTCTCCTTTTCCCCAGGGATATTCTACATGTGTGCCTATCGCATGCACGAGTGTCGGAGAGTAACTGGTCCTCGTTAAAGAGTGCGGAGACAACAGCAGTTATGAAAAAAATATCTAGTACAATACCTCCTAAAAAAACAGCAAACTTTTGTCTCTGAGTACTGGATATCAATGGATAAACGGATAACGACCATCGCGCTAAAGTAGATGCAGACAAGCCTATTCCGTAAGGCAAAGAGAAGAGCGCACTAACCCAAATCAACCAATTAGCATTCATCTTTCAGTGACCATGGGAAACTCAATCTGATTGGTTGTTGTGGATTAGCGCACCAAGATTTGTCCCTTGACTTGGACAAAACATGGGTGTGCCTTCTGCACAGAGACCAGTCGGATCTCAGCTGTCAATATGGTTACAGTCCAGGAAGGGTTTCCTGGTCACAAAGGTTCACCGACGCATTTCAACATTTTAAGAGGCCCACTTCACAAGGGCTAAAATACAAAACTAGGACTTGATTGTTATGTATCTGACGTATTTTAGCCCTCATGAAGGGTAGTGCTCAAATCCCTGAAACATGTTGACATTCTAAATAAAAACTTCATAGATTGGCACTCTCTATTTTAAAATCTCTAAGATGTTCCACCAGGGGTCTTGCTATGGTAATGGTCCATTAAAGAACTGCCGATACCAAATTTTTATTCCTCATGGGGATAGATACCCATACCAGGGTTCAACTCTCCTCCTCGTTGTTTTACAGTCATCACATGAAATGAGCCCTCGAACATCTTGCACCCTTCTCCAGAGTTAACTTAGCCCAGGGGTGTCCAAACTATGGCCCTCCAGCTGTTGAAGTACTACAAGTCCCATCATGCCTCTGCCTCAGGGTGTCTTGCCTTTGGATATCAGAGTCTTGCAAGGCCTCATGGGACTTGCAGTTCCTCAACACATGGAGGGCCATAGTTTGGACACCCTTGACTTAGCCGGAAGCTGATCCAGCACCATGGATCACCCTTTCCAAGAGAAGCAAAATGTGGATGTCAATGTCTTGCAAGGCCTCATGGGACTTGCAGTTCCTCAACCCCTGGAGGGCCATAGTTTGGACACCCTTGACTTAGCCGGAAGCTGATCCAGCACCATGGATCACCTTTTCCAAGAGAAGCAAAATGTGGATGTCAGTGTCTTGCAAGGCCTCATGGGACTTGCAGTTCCTCAACCCCTGGAGGGCCATAGTTTGGACACCCTTGACTTAGCCAGAAGCTGATCCAGCACCATGGATCACCCTTTCCAAGAGAAGCAAAATGTGGATGTTAGAGTCTTGAAGGCCTCATGGGACTTGCAGTTCCTCAACACCTGGAGGGCCATAGTTTGGACACCCTTGACTTAGCCAGAAGCTGATCCAGTACCATGGAACACCCTTTCCAAGAGAAGCAAAATGTAGGCTCTTGCCCCAAAATTGTCGGCATTCGGGACATTCTTTTAAATGGAAGGTTAATTCTCGTTTTCATTTTTTTTCATCCCTCTTTGCTTACTTCAAACCCCGTAGGTGCAGCACTGTACTGGAAGGGATAAAATAACCAACGTTTTATCTCCAAGGGTGATAGAACAAAACCGAAATGAGCATGGTAAATTGAAAGTGTTGTGAAAGTTTGCAAAATTAAAAAAAAAAAAAAGTTTTAAAGGTTATTAAAAAAAATATATATTTAATGAATTTTCATTGTTTTTATTCTTTTGAGGGTTTAATAAAGACGAATGCAAATTTTACCCATCTTTGATCTTGTGAATGACTTCCAAGTAATTTTAATAGAGTGAATAGAAGAATTGGTCTTGGCAGCAACAAGTAGATCAGCAATTCAATCCTTTATTGAGATTTAGAAGGGAAGTATTGGGAACGCTCAAATCTACTGTATATGGTGACTAATTATAGAGAAACGTAGGTTTGAAAAAACTTTCTCCCCTATAGGGATTGGATATGATGGCTAAGCTCATAACTGGACTCCCATTCAGTTCATGGGAACTAGGCCATATGGGCAGAAGACCTGGTTCACAATGGTCATTCCAAATCATGTTCTGTAGGATTGAGGTCTAGGCTCTAAGCTTTTTGGATATCCTATTATAAAACCACAGCTATGAATATAGAGTTGCCTCCATTGGAGCAATAACATCCTCCCCTCTTCTGGGAGGGCATTCCACAAGATTTTGGAGGGTGTCTGTGGGAACTTTTGTCCAGTTGTGATGTCAGGCACTAATGTTGGATGAGAAGGCCTGGCTTACGATCAGGTCAGAAGTCCTGGTCCACAATGGTCATTCCAAGTCATCCCAAAGGTGTTTGGTAGAGTTGAGGTCAGGGTTCTGCTCAAGCCATAGAGTTCTTCTACGCCAAACCAGTCAAAACCATGTCTTTATGAAGCTGGCTTTATACATGGGTCACAGTCATAATGAAACAGAATAGGGTCTTCCCAAAACTGTTACCACACGCTTGGAAGATAAGGCCTGGCTTACGATCCGGTCAGAAGTCCTGGTCCACAATGGTCATTCCAATTCATCCCAAAGATATTTGGTAGGGTTGAGGTCAGGGCTCTGCTCAGGCCATAGAGTTCTTCTACGCCAAACCAGTCAAACCATGTCTTTATGGAGCTGGCTTTGTACATTGGTCACAGTCATAATGAAACAGAATAGGGTCTTCCCAAAACTGTTAGCACACGCTTGGAAGATAAGGCCTGGCTTACGATCCGGTCAGAAATCCTGGTCCACAATGGTGATTCCAAATCATTCCCAAAGGTGTTTGGTAGAGTTGAGGTCAGGGGTCTGCAAAGGCCATAGAGTTCTACGCCAAACCAGTCAAACCATGTCTTTATGGAGCTGGCTTTGTACATGGATCACAGTTATAATGAAACAGAATAGGGGCTTCCCAAAATTGTTACCACAAGCTTGGAAGATAAGGCCTGGCTTATGATCCGGTCAGAAGTCCTGGTCCACAATGGTCATTCCAATTCATCCCAAAGGTGTTTGGTAGGGTTGAGGTCGGGGCTCTGCTCAGGCCAGAGAAGAACTCTATGGCCTGAGGAGAGCCCTGACCTCAACCCTACCAAACACCTTTGGGATGAATTGGAATGACCATGAGGAGAGAGGGAGTGGGGCCAAGTTGTGGCTCCATGTGTGAATGGACACATGGAACAGCAGCTTGGGAACACACCTGCTCGGGTGCCCCCATAGCAAGCTGCTTGCTGCGGGAGCACCTGACAGAAAGGAAGAGCCAGGAGAGGTTGCGGGGGGGGGGGGGGGGGGGGGACCCGAGAAGAGGAGGATCCTTGCTGCTCAGTGCAAGACCACTACACATATCAGGTAAGTACAACATGTTTTTTTATTTTTCCAAAAAAATGAACCTTTAAATCGCCTTTTCAGCAAACACCGAGTGATCTACCTCATAAAAAAAACTTGCCAAGAAAAGTCTATGGAAAAAGTCTCTAAAATGTAGAAGATATGGTGCCCAGAGAGCTAGCCCTAGAGTTGGAGATGTCTGAACTAATATCACACATGTAAAAGATCATGCTGTAGTACCAAATTTCATCACTAACCAGTCCAATTCTTTTTTTTGTTTTTTTTTCAATAGTGTATTTTGATGATTTCATGAAATTCAGCTTTGCAGTCCAAAACACAATGAAATATTGAGTCAGTGAGCTAATTTCACCACTTCGAAGTAAGGATTGGATTTATATCTCAGGTATCTTTTACGTTAGCCTAGGCTTCCCTTCTGCCGCCACACTTGGTCACTCTTATTTCAACCAGGATCACAGTCTTTGTGGTTGGGCTGCAGGCTCTTGTCTCATGATTCTGTGCTGTACGAAAATTCTCTCCCTCTGAGAGCTTCCCAGAGAGCTGCCCAGAACCTGAGGACACTTGGCCAGTTGTTATTTCAGGTATCTTTTACATTGGCCTTAGTCTGCCCTTCTGCTGCTACACTTGGTCAATTCCATTTTAGCCGGGTTCACAGTCTTAGTTGTTGGCACTGCAGGCTCTTGTCTTATGATTCTGTGCTGTACAACAATTCTCTCTCTCCGAGAGCTTCAGCCATTGCTGCCCAGAACCTGAGGACACTTGGCCAATTTTTATTGCAGGTATCTTCTATGCTGGCCTAGTCTGCCCTTTTGCTGGCACACTTGATCACTCCTATTTCAGCCAGGATCACAGTCTTTGTGGTTGGGTTGCAGGCTCTTGTCTTATGATTCTGTGCTGTACAACAATTCTCTCTCTCTCTGAGAGCTTCAGCCATTGCTGCCCAGAACCTGAGGACACTTGGCCAATTTCTATTTCAGGTATCTTCTATGCTGGCCTAGTCTGCCCCTCTGCTGCTATGCTGGATCAATTCCATTTTAGCCAGGTTCACAGTCTTAGTTGTTGGCACCGCAGGCTCTTGTTTTATGATTCTGTGCTGTACAACAATTCTCTCTTTCTGAGCTTCAGCCATTGCTGCCCAGAACCTGAGGACACTTGGCCAATTTTTATTTCGGTTATCTTCTATGCTGGCCTAGTCTGCCCTTCTGCCGCCACACTTGGTCACTTCTATTTCAGCCAGGATCACAGTCTTTGTGGTTGGACTGCAGGCTCTTGTCTCATGATTCTGTGCTGTACGAAAATTCTCTCCCACCGAGAACTGCCCTGAACCTGAAGACATTTGACCAATTTTTATTTCAGGTATCTTCTATGCTGGCCTAGTCTGCCCTTCTGCTGCTACACTTGGTCAATTCCATTTTAGCCAGGTTCACAGTCTTAGTTGTTGGCACCGCAGGCTCTTGTCTCATGATTCTGTGCTGTACAACAATTCTCTCTTTCTGAGCTTCAGCCATTGCTGCCCAGAACCTGAGGACACTTGGCCAATTTTTATTTCGGTTATCTTCTATTCTGGCCTAGTCTGCCCTTCTGCCGCCACACTTGGTTACTTCTATTTCAGCCAGGATCACAGTCTTTGTGGTTGGGCTGCAGGCTCTTGTCTCATGATTCTGTGCTGTACGAAAATTCTTTCCCACCGAGAGTTGCCCTGAACCTGAAGATATTTGGCCAATTTTTATTTCAGGTATCTTCTATGCTGGCCTAGTCTGCCCTTCTGCTGCTACACTTGGTCAATTCCATTTTAGCCAGGTTTAGTTGTTGGCACCGTAGGCTCTTGTCTTATGATTCTGTTCTGTACAACAATTCTGTCTCTCTGAGAGCTTCAGCCATTGCTGCCCAGAACCTGGAGACATTTGGTCCTTCTATATCTCAGGCTCAGATTCACCTCATTCATTCATCAAATTCATCATCCATTGACACAAGCCCCAAGCCCGTCCACACAGTCCTTCTAAGGAGCTTCTGGACATAGAAATGGTACTGCAGGCAGTATAGTATAGGAAGCAAAATAACTAAATAAATGTTTTATTATAAAGGAGAGCTTATTCCTTTATTATAATAGATTTTATATAGAAAAAGCATCAAAGCCATATCCCATCTAGGACACGACGACAGTGCTTGGTGGGGGTTGGGCTGTATACGGCGGCGGCTGTGCGTTCCTCATAGACAATTGCCGTTTGATTTCTTCCAAAGTCCCTTCTCTGTCCGGCTGTTTTTTATGGTGATACCAGCTGATGGATCCTACAACGAAGGAGAAGATTCAGTTAATGCGCATTTCATCGAATGGCTGGAGGCGCGCAACGCAAAAAACGTGTTTAGTTTCGGTGTCATTCGTACGGTAAATCGTTTTGTTTCGTCATAATCATTATGTTAGAATAATTAGTTTTTTTTTAACATTTTTGTTATTTCAGGAGATTAAATATTTGTAGTTCTGAATCAATTCATATTTTTGGGAGTTATTTCGGAAGGTTAGTTATGTATTTGTTTTTTTATTTCGGGAGATTGCTTATTTATTTATTTCAGGTACTTGTATGGTGCTGTCAATTTATGCATCACTTTACATATATATTGTACATTCACATCAGTCCCCGCCCCCAAGGAGTGTACAATCTAAGGTCCTAACTCACATACTAGGGACGATTTAGACAGGTTTCAAATAACCTTCTAGCATGTCTTTTGGAGTGTGAGAGGAAACCGTAGTACCCGGAGGAAACCCACGCAGGCACAGGGAGAACATGCAAACTCCAGGCAGGTGGTGCCGTGGTTGGGATTTGAACCAGCGACCCTAGTACTGCCCGGTGGAAGTGCTAACCACTTAGCCACTGTGCTGCCCAATTACCGGCCGGGACCCGGTGATTGACAGCCACAGCCGCGAATGGCGGCCCTACACGCGCGCCCGCTACCCGGAATGCAAAATCATATATGTGCGCACTTGTGCTGCCCTGTAGCAGTATTTCTGCTATAGGACGGTCGGGAAGCGGATGAATATATGCATGCGGCCGGTGGGAATTCCGTGCTGAGAGCGCGAGGGAACTAGAAAGTCCCGACGCATACTTGTGACCGGGAGCTTTCCGATCATGTTACTGCTGTGACAGTCAATCACAGCCATCACGTGACCCAAATGCCCACCTCTGCCTCCCAGCATCCTAAAGGCCGGGAGGAGGTGGTCAGCGAGAAGGAAAGTGTATCTCTTAGTTTTGATTAGAGTAGGGAAGGGTTTAAACCCCCTGCAAGATTTTATTACTTATCAAGGGATGTGTGAAGCTGGGAGGTGGGGTTTAGGGTCATGTGACCGCCGTAATTGGCAGTCAATCGGAAAGCTCACAACCACAAGTAGCGTTCGAGACTTTTCCGTGAGGCGCCGGTAAACGTTCAAGGAGCGCGCAGGGCACAAATGTTTTGTTTACATTGGGTACACAAAATTTGCGGCGCAAGGCCCAGCCACCGAGAAGAGCGTACGCTCGGCGCCAAGGAGTTGATATTACACTACACCTTCTCCCTTGGTCACTTGATAAATCTCCCATGGCGTTAAGTACCATCTCTATGCTGATGACACACAAATCTATCTTTCTACCCCTTCACTCCTCACCCCTTCAGTCTCCTCCTCACCTCACCCCTTCAGTCTCCAATCGCATTACTAACCTACTAAGTGACATATCGGCATGGATGTCCCTCCACTTCCTCAAACTCAATCTTTCCAAAACTGAGCTCCTAGTATTCACTCCAGCCCGTGCCCCCTCCCCTGACTTCTCCATCAAGATCAATAACACAACCATCAGTCCCTCCCCTCATGCCGGGGTACTACGTGTAATCCTAGAATCCCATCTTTCCTTTCACCCCCAAATCCAATTGCTGTCCAAATCTTGTAGACTTCACCTTTGCAACATCTCCAAGATACGTCCGTTCCTAACCTCGGAAACCACTAAGCAACTTATTCCCTCCCCGGTTATCTCTCACCTTGACTCATGTAACTCCTTCCTCATTGGCCGACCTCATCACAGTCCCCTCTTCAGTCTATCATGAATGCTGCTGCCAGACTCATCCACCTAACCAACCGTTACGTATCTTCCACCCCACTCTGCCAATCCCTCCACTGACCTCTATTCAGTGTCCTCCATCCCTCTCTGCCAATCCCTCCACTGGCCTCCATCCCTCTCTGCCAATCCCTCCACTGGCCTCCACTCAGTGTCCTCCATCCCTTTCTGCCAATCCCTCCACTGGCCTCCACTCAGTGTCCTCCATCCTCTCTGCCAATCCATCCACTGGCTTCCACTCAGTGTCCTCCACCCTTCTCTGCCAATCCATCCAATGGCTTCCAATCAGTGTCCTCCACCCTTCTCTGCCAATCCCTCCACTGGCCTCCACTCAGTGTCCTCCATCCCTCTCTGCCAATCCATCCACTGCCTCCACGCAGTGTCCTCCATCCCTCTCTGCCTTCCCTCCACTGGCCTCCACTCAATGTCCTCCATTCCTCTCTGCCAGTCCCTCCAATGGCCTCCACTCTGTGTCCTCCATCCCTCTCTGCCTATCCCTCCACTGACCTCCACTCAGTGTCCTCCATTCCTCTCTGCCAATCCCTCCACTGGCTTCCCATTGCCCAATGATAAAATTCAAAACATTAACAAACACATATAAAGCCATTTATAACTCCGCCCCAAATTACATCACCAATCTTGTCTCCAAATATCACCCAAACTGTCCTCTCCGCTCCTCCCACGACCTCCTGCTCTCTATTCCTTTGCCTCCTTCTCCCATGCTCGTCTCCAGGACTTCTCCAGAGCCTCCCCTATTCTCTTGAACTCTCTACCCCAATCTATCAGATTATCGCCTACTCTGCTCACTTTTAGGCGATCTCTGAAAACCTATCTCTTCAGGGAAGCCTATCCTGCCCTCAGCTAATAATGGAATCTTCTATTCCTCCTACCAGTCCATCCCCCACAGTTATTACCTTTTGTACCACCAGCCCCTCCCTCTTAGATTGTAAGCTCCAAGGATCAGGCCCTCCTAACCCTCTTGTATTGAACTGTATTGTTGCTGTATTGTCTCCCTTTATAATGTAAAGCACTGAGCAAACTGTTGGCGCCATAAATCCTGTATAATAATAATAATATTGAAAATTGGTTTTAAATGAACAGCAGAAGGCTGCTCTTGGTCAGCAGGTACCAGGAACCTGGTGGGTGTACTCATAGAAGAAAGAAAAGTAGGGCCACAAAAGAGTCAATTGATGGGCACATATTTTATTGATCCACTTCACTGAAAATGTAGATAGCTAGGTTTCGGGGGGTCAGACATCCCCCTTCATCAGGACTAAGGTACAGCACATGATAGAATAGAAAAAGAATCTAAAACATGACTGAATAAATAAAAACGAAATAAAAATGTATTAAAATATATATTATTACAATAGTTTAATACATTTTTATTGCTAGTTTGCATCTATCAGGGATGTTTTATATACGATTGTAATTGTTTTTGTTTCATGGTTTATGATTTACCATAGCCCTGATGATGGGGTCATGTCTGGCTGGATATGTGTCGGAATTTTCCTACAATCAATAAAGTGATTCGATAAAATATCTGCCAGTCCATCGACTCTTATTTCACCACTTTTCTTTCTTTCACAAGAATTTTTTTCACTGTGTTCCTGCTGGGGAGACTCAATCCTGTTTGTTCTGATGACCATTGCCACCGATGGAGGGACCACATTGACCACTGCCAAAGTGATGGGAAATCCATGAATTTACAATTGTCTCTGGAACTGGAATGGGGCTGATCTTCTAATGAGGACACTTCCTCTGGTGATGACTGTCTCCTAGTCCTCTCACTTCTTGTTACGTCTCTAAAACAGTAAGTGAAGAGAAATCACCTCTTACTGGATTATAATATTTATAGGTAATAACACCAGGGATTGTCGATCCAGGAGATATCTGATTTGGGGGATCAGGTTGGAACTGATCTTTCCCCTGCTGGGGCTAATTGGATCATGCCTTGTAGGGTTTTTTTTTCCTTTCTCTGGATCAACTGTGGGTATAGGATTCTGTATATGGAAGATTTCTATTCATTTATTTTGTTTATTTCTTTTCTATTAGTTGAACTGATAAATGGCACCAGTGGTTTATTTAGGTTTTGTGCTGCCCTAGGCAACACGAAAATCACCCCCCCCCCCCAACAGATAGAGCCTGACATTGACCAACAACACCCCTACCCTCCCCAAGAGAGCCTTCCACTACTACTGCCCCCATACACCAGCCACCATCCGCCAGAGAGAAAGACACTCACCTTCACAGCTCCGGATATCCCTGGGAACAAGAGTGGGGCTGTACATACACCGTCATGAAACCCGCAGCCTCTCTCGGTTCCCACCAGGTTCCCATTCCACGTGTGTCCCTTCTTTCAAGGGGCAGTGCTGACTCCCCCCCGAAAAATGCCGCCCTAGGCAAATGCCTAGTTTGCCTTATGGTAAATACACCCCTGAATGGCACACAGTTAGACATTTTGTATCAGTTATTGATGAAATTTCTTTTAAAATGTGAAAAATGAAGCACGAAAATCACAAAATATCTATAGATAAAAAAAAAAGTTACCAGCCACAAGGTACAGGAATGTGCCAATCCAGCCAAAGACCAAACCATAGGCAACGCCTCCATAATAATATATAAGGCTAAAGTAGACTGTGGCAGGAATCATTCCACACAATCCCAAAACACCTGAAAGGAATAAAAAAAGAAAAAGAACAAAACACACAAGTTTAACTAGTAAAGAATCAGTCTATGCAAAACCAATTGTGCCATTATTTATTACAGGTATTTATATAGCACCAATAATTTACATCCATTTGCATCAGTCCCTGCCCTCAGGGAGCTTACAATCAAAAGTCCCTGTCTTACATACATACCAGGGGCGGACTGACCATTCGAGCACTCGGGCACTGCCCTAGGGCCCGGGTCAGTAGGGGGCCCCATGAGATGCCCCTGGTACTTTTTATAGGCTTTTTTGGGTGTGGGCAAGGACACAGGGGCCCCATGATCCCCTATTGCCCGGGGGCCTCATGAGTTGTCAGTCCGCCCCTGATACATATTATAGCCTATTTACCTACCAGCATGTCTTTGTAGTGTAGTAGGAAACTTGAGTACCAAAAGGTCCTGCTCCCCCCGTTGGATAAAGCATTAATTGCTAGTTGTATGTTCCTGAGTTTCAGCAGTATATATATATGCCCTTGAGTCTGCCTCCATTTCAGGGAGGTCCTGTTCTCCCTGGTAGAGCAGTGTTAGAAACTCCTGCAAATGAATGAATGACCACCTCATATCTCTCTGAGATTCAAGTAGTGATATCACCGCCCCTGAGTTCCCAGCTCCGCCTCTATTCCAAGAAGCTCCTGCTCTCTCTGGTGGAGCATTGTCAGGATCTCCTGCAAAGAGGATTAGGCGCATTGTACTTTTTTGAGATTCGAGTAGTGATATCACCGCCCCTGAGTTTCCAGCTCTGCCTCCATGGAGGTTCTGCTCTCCCTGGTGGAGCATTGTCAGGAACTCAAGAAGAGAGGATTGTCCACCTCATACCTCTCTGAGATACAAGTAGTGCAATCACTGCCCCAGAGTACCCAGATCCTCCTCTATTCCAGGCAGGTCCTGCTTTCCCTGATAGAGTAGTGTTAGGAACTCCTGCATAGAGGACTGGTCACCTTGTGCCTCTGAAATTCAAGTAGTGATATCACTGCCCTGGAATTCGCAGCTTCACCTCTATTCCATGGAGTTTCTGCTCTCCCTGGTGGAGCATTGTCAGGAACTCCAGCAGAGAGGATTGGTCACCTTGTACCTCTCTGAAATTGAAGTAGTGATATCACAGCCCCTGAGTTCCAAGATCCACCTCTATTTTGTGGAGGTCCATCTCTCCCTGGTGGAAAAGCGTTAGGAACTCCTGCAAAGAGGATTAGCTGCCTTGTACTTCTCTGAGATTCATGTAGTGATATCACTGCCCCTGAGTTCCCAGCTCCGCCTCCATTCCAGGAAGGTCCTGTTCTATGATGGACCAGTGTTGGGAACTCCTGCAAACACGATTGGTCACCTCATACCTTATTGAGATTCAAGTAGTGATCTCACTGCCCATGAGGCCCTAGCTCTGCCCCTATTTTATGGAGGTCCTGCTCTCCTTGGTAGAACAATGTCAAGAACTCCTGCAGAGAGGATTGGCCACCTTGTACCTTTATGAGATTCAAGTAGTGACATCACTGCCCCTAAGTTCCCAGCTCTGCCTCTGTTCCAAGGAGGTCCTGCTCTCTCTGGTGGAACAGTGTCAAGAACTCCTGCATAGAGGACTGGCTACCTTGTACCTCTCTAAAATTCTAGTAGTGATATCACTACCCCTGAGTTCCCAGCTCCATTCCAGGAAGGTCCTGTTCTCTCTGATGAAGCAGTGTCAAGAACTCCTGCAAACACGATTGGTCATCTCGTACCTTTCTGAGATTCAAATAGTGATTTCACTGCCCATCAGGTCCTAGCTCTATCTCTATTCCATGGAGGTCCTGCTCTCCCTTGTGGAACATTGTCAGGAAGTCCTGCATAGAGGAACTGGCCATCTTGTACCTCTCTGAAATTCAAGTAGTGATATCACTGCCCCTGTGTTAGCAGCTCCACTTCCATTCCAGGAAGGTGGACCAGTGTCAGGAACTCCTGCAAATAGGATTGGTTGCCTTGTACCTCTCTGAGATTCAGGTAGTGATATCACTGCCCCTGAGTTCCCAGCTCCTCCTCCATTCCAGGAAGGTGGACCAGTGTCAGGAACTCCTGCAAAGAGGATTGGCTGCCTCGTACCTCTCTGAGATTCAAGTAGTGATATAATTTCCCCTGAGTTCCTGAGTTCCACCTCCATTCCAGGAAGGTGGACCAGTGTCAAGAAGTCCTACATAGAGGACTGGCTACCTTGTACCTCTCTAAAATTCTAGTAGTGATATTATTCCCCCTGAGTTTCCAGCTCCGCCTCCATTCCAGGAAGATCCTGTTCTCTCTGATGAAGCGGTGTCAGGAACTCCTGCAAACACGATTGGTCACCTTGTACCTTTCTGAGATTCAAGTAGTGATTTCACTGCCCATCAGGTCCTAGCTCTATCTCTATTCCATGGAGGTCCTGCTCTCCATGGTGGAACATTGTCAGGAAGTCCTGCATAGAGGACTGGCCACCTTGTGCCTCTCTGAAATTCAAGTAGTGATATCACTGCCCCTGAGTTCCCAGCTCTGCCTCCATTCCAGGAAGCTGGACCAGTGTCAGGAACTCCTGCAAAGAGGATTGGCTGCCTCGTACCTCTCTGAGATTCAGGTAGTGATATCACTGCCCCTGAGTTCCCAGCTCCGCCTCCATTCCAGGAAGGTGGACCAGTGTCAGGAACTCCTGCAAAGAGGATTGGCTGCCTTGTACCTCTCTGAGATTCAGGTAGTGATATCACTGCCCCTGAGTTCCCAGCTCCGCCTCCATTCCAGGAAGGTGGACCAGTGTCAGGAACTCCTGCAAAGAGGATTGGCTGCCTCGTACCTCTCTGAGATTCAGGTAGTGATATCACTGCCCCTGAGTTCCCAGCTCCGCCTCCATTCCAGGAAGGCAGACCAGTGTCATCGGAACTCCTGCACTGAGTTGGGGAAGTACCAATGGAACTCAGACCTGTGAGATGAAAAATGTTCCAGCCAAAGCTAACAACTCATATGGAGCAGCAAAAGGTTAAGCTTCAGTGAAAATGGAACGCCCCTTTAAATGCTTCTTTTGAGACAAAATTTGGTCAGGACATTATAGTTTGTAGCTGAATCATACCTGTTAAGAACATTATTTTTGCTGTTGCCTTTTTAATGTCCTCCACTCCATACATCTGCGCCAGGACAGCCACAATATTGCCACATATTCCAAACAAAAGGCAGAATACAAGAAGAACTTTGGAATATACTGGGAATGAAATGGAGAAAGAGAAAAGTCAGGACAAAATGCAAAAAACAAAAACATATTTTTTTATATATATATATATATATATATATATATATATATATATATATATATATACACACAGGCGTACCTCGGTTTACGAATTTATTGCGTTCTGCGGGACTTTTCGTATTGCGAAAAATTCGTAAACCGAAATGTGGTTTCCCATAGGAATGCATTGAAAACCAAATAATCCGTTCCGGAGGTCAGAGAAAAGTTTAAAAAAGTCTTATCTGTTCAAAACTCTTTATAAAGTGCTCTTTGAAGGCATAAATACTGTACAGGGACATGATTAAAAATTAATTCGTAAATGCATTGAAAACCAATTAATCCGTTCCGGAGGTCAGAAAAAAAGTCAAAAAAGTTTTATCTGTTCATAATTCTTTATAGAGTGCACTTTAAAGGCATAAATGGACATGATTAAAAAAAAAATCGTAAATGCATTGAAAACCAATGAATCTGTTCCGGAGGTCAGAAAAAAAGTAAAAAAAATTTTATCTGTTCAAAATTATTTTATAACGTGTACTTTAAAGGCATCTGATGGGGAAACTGATGTAAGGGAGGACACAGATATAATTGGAGATTCTAATGTAAAGGGGGTCTCTGGTGGGGACACCTATGTAAGGGGGGATTCTAATAGGAATGCTGCTGTAAGGGGAGACACTGACGTAAGGAGGGATTCTGATGTAAGTGGGGGACTCTGTTGGGGACACTGATGTAAAGGGGATTCTCAAAACGACACTGTTGTAAGGGGGATTCTGATGGGGACACGGATTTCTAATAGAGACAATGATGTAAGGGGGGGCGGGGACTCTGATGTAAAGGGGAACTCTGATGGGGATACTGATGTAAGGTTGACTTTGTTGGGGACACTGATGTAAGAGGGGTTCGACATGGGGACACTGATGAAAGGGGGGTTTCAGATGTAAGGGGGCTCTGATAGGGATACTTGATGTAGTAGGGAATTCTGATGTGGACACTGATGTAAGGTGGGGTGCTAATGGGGACAATAATGTAAAGGGGACTCTGATGGGGACACTGATGTAAGATGGAGTATTAATGGGGGCACTAATGTAAAGGGGACTCTGATGGGGACACTGATGTATGAGAGGTACTTTGATGAAGGGGGCTCTGATTGGAACACTGATGTAAGATGGAGTATTAATGGGGGCACTGATGTATGGAGGGAAACTAATGTAATGCAAAGGAGACACTAATGTAAGGTGGACTCTGATGGGAGACTCTGATGTAAGGGGGGATTCAGATGGGGACCTTGATGTAAGGGGGGATTCAGATGGGAACCGTGATGTAAGGGGGGGGGGGGATTCAGATGGGGACCTTGATGTAAGGGGGATTCAGATGAGAACCTTGATGTAGGGGGGGATTCAGATGGGGACCTTGATGTAAGGGGGGGATTCAGATGGGGACCTTGATGTAAGGGGGATTGAGATGGGAACCTAGATATAAGGGAGGGATTCAGATGGGAACCTTGATGTAAGGGGGGGGATTCAGATGGGGACCTTGATGTAAGGGGGGGATTCAGATGGGGACCTTGATGTAAGGGGATTGAGATGGGAACCTAGATGTAAGGGAGGGATTCAGATGGGAACCTTGATGTAAGGGGGGGGGGGATTCAGATGGGGACCTTGATGTAAGGGGGGGATTCACATGGGAACCTTGATGTAAGGGGGGGGATTCAGATGGGGACCTTGATGTAAGGGGGATTCAGATGGGAACCTTGATGTAGGGGGGGATTCAGATGGGGACCTTGATGTAAGGGGGGGATTCAGATGGGGACCTTGATGTAAGGGGGGGATTCAGATGGGAACCTTGATGTAAGGGGGGGATGCAGATGGGGACCTTGATGTAAGGGGGGGATGCAGATGGGGACCTTGATGTAATGGGGGGATTCAGATGGGAACTTTGATGTAAGGGGGGATGCAGATGGGGACCTTGTTGTAAGGGGGGTATCAGATGGGGACCTTGATGTAAGGGGGGATTCAGATGGCAACCTTTATATAGGGAGGGGATTCAGATCGGGACCTTGATGTAAGGGGGGATTCAGATGGCAACCTTGATGTAAGGGGGGGGATTCAGATGGGGACCTTGATGTAAGGGGGATTCAGATGGGGACCTTGATGTAAGGGAGGGATTCAGATGGGGACCTTGATGTAAGGGGGGGGATTCAGATGGGGACCTTGATGTAAGGGGGGGATTCAGATGCGGACCTTGATGTAAGGGGAGGATTTAGATGGGGACCTTGATGTAAGGAAGGGATTCAGATGGAGACACTGATGAGAGAGGTGCAGATTGAATTTATTTTTGCTTGACCTTCATATTATGCTGATTGTATATGAATTAATATGTTTTACTTTAGCTTTTTTTTTTTTACTTTATTCATTGAGTTAAAAAAAAAAACTTTTTTTGGCCCCGCAATAATTTGTAAAATATACGATATTTGGCCCACAAACGGTTATGGTCGGAGACCCTGGTTTGGTGAATCAATCACCCCGGGTTTGAATCAATAATTCAGAATGTCGTCCTTTCTGCGGTCATTTACTGAACCAATAATTCTTTGTACGATTTTTGTTTGGCTCTCTTTCTGGCGCAGCTGTGTATAGTGATAAAAACCTGGCAGAGGTCTAATGCTTCCCCCACTCTATCCAAAAGCGAGGTTGTGGCTGGATATACCCTTTAATTGTGGCTTTACCTATTGGTTTTCTATGGACATGATCTGTAGGTGGTCTGGTGTGTTGTACGGGAAGAGGAGGTGTGAATATATAATCCACTTACTGATTGCGCTGTGGGACACGCACACGACCCTATTGCAGACCTTCCATAAACCTATACTCTGTATGTCATCCTTGCCGTTCCCGTCCACCCAGCGATTGGTGGATATAGCGACCAACATGACGATGGTGGCGATACAACTCAACGCAGTCACTGTCAGCCTCAGCTGGAAGGACGAAGGGAAGCTGCAAAGACAATAAAGACAATCGTGTATTAGCTTCGGTCCCCAGTGCACTGGGTGCGGCTTGGCATGTGTCATGGCAAGTTGCACCCTATTGTCCGCAATTACAGTGATTTCTAAAGTGGGGCACCTCAAATCGGCATGCCATCCACTTCACTGTAGGTCGCACGCAGGGGCGGACTGACAACTCATGGGGCCCCTGGGCAATAGGGGATCATGGGGCCCCTGTGTCCTTGCCCACACTCAAACCACCACCCAAAAAAGCCTATGAAAAGGTACAAGGTGCATCTCATGGGGCCCCCTACTGACCCTGGGCCCTCGGGTAGTGCCCGAGTGCCCAAATGGTCAGTCCGCCCCTGGTCGCAAAGTTGGGATCGGTGTAAAGAGGCCCCCATCATCGCTGGTAAAAGCTCCAAAAAATTAAGTAATTTAAACATAGTATTATTATTTGTGATCTCCTGGATTGAAATTGCTCACTTTCATTTCCTGGCTGGAGGACGTCCAGCAGCATCTCCCATTTTCTGGCTGGAGGACATCCAGCATCATCTCTCATTTTCTGGCTGGAGGGCGTCCAGCATCATCTCCCATTTCCTGGCTGGAGGGTGTCCAGCATCATCTCTCATTTTCTGGCTGGAGGGCGTCCAGCATCATCTCTCCATTTCCTGGCTGGAGGACGTCCAGCAGCATCTCCCATTTTCTGGCTGGAGGACATCCAGCATCATCTCTCCCATTTCTGGCTGGAGGGTGTCCAGCATCATCTCTCATTTTCTGGCTGGAGGACATCCAGCATCATCTCTCTTTTTCCTGGCTGGAGGACGTCCAGCATCATCTCTCATTTCCTGGCTGGAGGGCGTCCAGCATCATCTCTCATTTCCTGGCTGGAGGGCACGTCCAGCATCATCTCTCATTTTCCTGGCTGGAGGACGTCCAGCGTCATCTCCCATTTCCTGGCTGGAGGACGTCCAGCATTATCTCTCATTTCCTGGCTGGAGGACGTCCAGCATCATCTCTCATTTCCTGGCTGGAATACGTCCAGCATCATCTCTCAATTCCTGGCTGGAATACGTCCAGCATCATCTCTCATTTCCTGGCTGGAATACGACCAGCATCATCTCTCATTTCCTGGCTGGAGGACTTCCAGCGTTATCTCTCATTTCCTGGCTGGAGGACATCCAGCATCATCTGTCATTTCCTGGCTGGAATACGTCCAGCATCATCTCTCAATTCCTGGCTGGAATACGTCCAGCATCATCTCTCATTTCCTGGCTGGAATACGACCAGCATCATCTCTCATTTCCTGGCTGGAATACGTCCAGCATCATCTCTCATTTCCTGGCTGGAATACGACCATAATTATCTCTCATTTCCTGGCTGAAGGGTGTCCAGCATTATCTCTCAATTCCTGGCTGGAGGGTGTCCAGCATCATCTCTCCTTTCCTTGCTGGAGGACGTCCAGCATCATCTCTCATTTTCTGGCTGGAGGGCGTCCAGCATCATTTCTCATTTCCTGGCTGGAGGGCGTCCAGCATCATCTCTCATTTCCTGGTTGGAGGATGTACAGTATCATCTCTCATTTCCAAATGTGTCCCTGTTGCTCCTTCATCCAGAGTGGGGGGCACTCTAATACAGGAGGTTTGTTGCTGGCCAGATCACAAGGTGAAAACAGAGGGGGGAAAAAAAGCAGAAAAAAAGAAAACTAATGCAGCCACCATATCTAATGATTGGTAAGCTGCAATGAATTATGGTTTTGGGTTGGGGTTTAATATTTCTTCAACCACTTCCGGTCCATGTACATAAACAGCTGCATAGGAGCAGTGCTGAAGCGGGTGGGCGTTTATAATCGGCCCCCACATTCACTGCCTGTGCACTCTCCCTGGGATCTGGACACAGCGGAACACCGATCGCTGTATGGGACCTGTGTGAGGTCCCGATTCATGTGATCACTGGTTGGCCAATCAGTGATCACTTCCTGACATCATTAATTATTACTTGTGAATTCTGTGAATGATCACAGAGGTCACATGGTACAGGACTATTCACAACAGCCTTGTACCATGTGACAAGCTGTGACCAATCACAGCTCTCACAGTATTTCTCAATGGCTGCAGGAATGCAGCCAGAGAGAAGGAGAAATGATTTGTTTTACAGCCTTTATGGGTGTAAAAGCAATCAGTGTTAAAAAAGAAAAAAAATCTTCATCACCCCCACAAGTAGTACAGTGTCACTATGGTGGACATTGTACTGCTAGGGTGACAGTAGAAAAAAAGCAAAAACATAAATAATACTATAAAAAAATAAAATAAAAATATAAAAAAAAGTTCTGAAAAATTATAATTTTTGGTTATAAAACTAATTTGGGTTATTTTTTTTTTTTTTTTCTAAAAAGATAGCTGAATACATTTTGGCCAAGATTTATGAAGAAAGATTATTTATTTGCAAAATTTTATAAGAAAAACACTTTTGTTTTTCAAAATGTTTGGACTTTTTCATTTATATAGCAAAAAAAAAAAAATCCCAGCGGTGAATAAATACCACCAAAATAAAGTTTTATGTCTCAAAAAATGCTAAAAGATTCATAGGGGTACAGTGTTGCATGACCGCGCAATTGTCATTCAAAGTGTGATAGTGCTGAAAGCTAAAAATTGGCCTGGGCAGGAAGGGGGTGAAAAGTGTCCGGACTGGAAGGGGGTGAAAGTGTCCGGACTGGAAGGGGGTGAAAGTGTCCGGACTGGAAGGGGGTGAAAGTGTCCAGACCGAAGGGGGGGGGAAAGTATCCGGACTTGAAGTGGTTAAGAATGCATCCTTAGAATAGAATGTTTATTTTTTAAACCAGAATTTAGGGTCATGTTAACTCCAGGTAGATAAAATGAAACTCGCAGTTTGCGTAACGGTTGATTGTATTTTTAAATGCAGCTAATATAAATACTACAACTAAGAAAACAAATGCATCTGATTGATTGGTAAGCTGCAATACAATACATTTTTATTTTTTTTGGGGGGGGGTTTATTACCTCTTTATTTCAACAATAACTTTGTTATTACTTAGATAACAAAGTAACACATACAGAATATATACATGGCTTTCTTTTGGTGATATTGTCTTGCAAAAATTGTTTTATTTATGCAATCCATAGACAAAAAAAAAAACAAAAAACACCTTTTTCTACTTTGATCAGTATTAGTTTAATAAAAAAAAATATTGTTACTGTAAATAACCAGTATAAATTGTATTCCATATTCCATAATTTGTCACATTTAAAATCACATTCAAATTATGATTCTGGTAGAAAAAAAATGAGCAATTATTTAAAAAAAGAAAAAAAAAACAGTAATTTACAATGGCATTTTCTTTGAATGTTATGTTTTTTACATGTGACATTTTTGTGTCAATTGAAATTAACAAAGAAAATGAAAAACAACGAAAAAGAACTGGTAGAACAAAAAAAAATACAAAGTAGTTTACAGTGAAATAAAGGCTTTTTTTTTTTTGTGGGGGGTTTTTTTTATGTGAAATTTTAGTGTCAATTAACATTAACAAACAAAATGAAAAACAACGAAAAAAAAAAATAAACATTAATAGGCAGAAAAATAGAAAAGAGTAAAAAAATAAGCAGGATAAAAACTGTTAAAAGGATAAGTTAAAAAAAAGTTAATTAGGGCTGATTCAATTAAACTAGGGTTAGGAAATAATCTCTGTACCTTGATGTGTTGGAAATCATGTCTGCTCTCCTTCGTCTTCAGTCTTTACTGGAACATCAGACACAAGGCAGTTTATATTTTGGACTCTTCCCCCTCCAATAAATGTAACTGCTACACTGTTGGGAAATTGACCTGAGAGATTACTACACTGCTTCCACATTTATTATTATTATTATACAGGATTTATCAACTGTTTCATACTGTGTGGGCAATAGGGATCAGAGGAGTGACTTGAGGGATATTGATTTCTATTTAAAATTAGGGATTAGGGATTAGCTGCTTCAGGGAAATGTGCTTGAAATAAAAAGACTCTTTTTTTCCCAATTTATTTAGAGCGTTTATTATTTTTTTATATTTTGGGTGTATTTAAGGAAGCTAAGTTCATTTTATTTAGGGATCTATGTAAAAATATTTGACCCAGGATTCACTTTTTTTGTTCTTTGTGTATTTTTCTTTTTTTTGTGCATTTGATTCTGTTCAACAAATTTTTATTTTTTGCCAGTTTTGGAAACAAAAGGATCCATTTCTTAATGAATTTCACATTCTGAGTTCAAATATAACAATGAAATTTGTCAATTGGCTCTAGTTTTTCTGTAAACGGAAAGTTTTCTACTATAGGCGTAATGACTACATAATGCACAATAATTATATAGATAGATGTCTTTCCACAAATATAAAGCAAGTGATATTGACTACATAACAAAGCCTAAATGGCATAATATATTGCATAGGATTACCAAGAAAAATTATAGCCATAAGCTAAGTTGAATCATTTTAATACTTAGGATTCTCACTAGTTTTGTCTTCAGTTTGTGTCGGTTTTGCTTCTCTTGGCTTTTCTCTTGTATTCGAGGAAAGGGCTATCTCTTACAACTGCACGTGACTACACGCTTCAGGTTCTTCCTCACTTGACTCAACCACGAAGGATTCTGGTGCTTTAGGAATTGGTAGCCCCTCTCCATGAGGAACTGGACGTATTGCCGATGGAATATTTGGATAGTGCACAGATAACTTTTTCTTCTTATTTAGCCCTTTTACAATTGGAGGCACCATACAAAAGTAACAATTACTAACATGATCTGTTGGCTCTCTCCAAATCATTGGCACAGCAAAAGGCATAGATGCCTTTTTTCCATTCAACCATTGCTCCAGTGCCGTCCCACAAGAATTGCAGCATATATGTGGTGCCCAGCTCTTGTCCTGGTCTCCTATCTTGCAGCCAAAATACAAGTTGTAGGCTTTCTTAATCATTCCTGTTATCCTCCTTTTTTGTGAGATAAAAGTTATTTCACCACAGATATAGCAGAAATTATCTGCTTTATTCACACAAGTTCGAGGCATTACTGAGTAGCCTATATAAGCATAAAACGAAATGTAAAGACGCTGTCGAACTCCAATCAGCTACAGATACTGCAGCTTTTATGCAGTGAAGTGATGCAATTAAAGGCTAATATTGCATCATCTCAGTATACATGCAATTTTCTATTGGTCACCAGTATCAATTGCGCAATATGCAGCTGAAGTTGCATCATAATTTTGAATGGCTTACGTCATTAGATGGGTGAATATATCATGGAAACTAGAGCCAATCAACATTTTTTAGGGTCATTTTCGTTTTCAGCACCCCAAAATTATGTAAGATTAACTAATTTTATGCCCAAAACTTTTTACCTGTTGAACAGTGTTATCTTTGTACAGTTTTTAATTTTTTTAAATTTTTTTTTAACTGTTATTTTATTTTGTTGGAAAAAAAACCACCTAAAATAATGAGGTTAAAGAGAAACTAAACTTTCATTGTGAAATCACATCTATAAGGGTTAATAGCTATGTTTGTAAATGCTTGACCTTTTATACATAGCCAAGATTTCCTATGAGGAAGCAGGTGACAAAAAATGGTAATGATAAATTTTTATTTTCTCGGAGAATATGCTATTTTCACCTTTTTCCCGTTTCAACGCTGCTAATCTCTTCCAGCTTGTGTCAGCGATCCTCTACCCATATGGGAGAAAAATGTATTTTAAAAACTAAAATTTTGCCGATATTCATATATTTCAAAATATATTTTAATATATATATGTGTGTGTGTGTGTGTGTGTATTGTATGTTGAAATGCATTTTTATTACAAAATACAAAATATATGAAAAGTGTTTTTAAAAATACAAATCTACATTTTTGGATTGCATTTACAGATATATGTAAAAATATGTGTTGAAATTACTTTTTTATATGTTAAAAAAATCTGAAGAATATATTTTTAAAGAAATTATTTTTAAAACTAATTTTCATATATTTTGTAATATATAAAAAAAGCATTTCAACATGCATTATATATATATATATATTATATATATATATATATATATATATATTGGTCATATTCAATTTATTTCAAAATAATTATATATATAGGGTATATATATAATCAAATATATATATAAATCAAATAAAATATGAATGAAAGAAATAAACTGAGTGTCTAGAAAAAAAAATAAAATAAAATATGAATGAAAGAAATAAACTGAGTGTCTAGAAAAAAAAAACATATGAATGAAAGAACTAAACTGAGTGTTTAGAAAAAAATAAAATAAAATATGAATGAAAGAAATAAATAAATGGGCCCATTACAGACTTCAAAGGAGGTAACATTGTTTGATTTTTTTGAAGATTTATAGGATGTTGCACAAACTTGCAATGAAATCTTAAGGCTGTGAACATTTTTCCAGTATTTTACACAACTGTCATCTTACAGAATTGCTCGCAAGACCTTTACTTCCTGCGAGAGAGCACAGCTTGTAATGACCGAGAAATGTCCCTGTTGCCTAAGAGTATAGAGAGTTTTCAACATGTAGAATTTGAGTAGTAAGCAAACCCTATAGCCGAAGTAAAATTTTCTCATATTTTGACTTACATGGTTCCCCTCTTCACCAACAAGCTACGGTAATTACATTTTTTGACTATAATCTTTCCATTTTCCTTATAAATTTTATTTTAGTCCCAGTGATGACAGTATAGTATATAATAGCCATTCTCAAACAAGGTTCAGTGGAACCCTAGGGTTACTCTAGGGCAGGGGTGTCAAACTGGTGGCCCTCCAGCTGTTGCGAAATCATAAACACGCCGCACTGCAAATAAATTTAAAATTAAATTAGATACTCTAAATAAAAGTCCAAAATAAAGTCCAATAAATACGAGCATGGGAGGAGGAGACGAGGGAGCTAGAGAGCAGGAGGTCGTGCGAGGAGCAGAGAGGACGGTTTGGGTGATATTTGGAGACATGATTGGTGATGTAATTTTGGGCGGAGTTATAAATGGCTTTATATGTGATTGTTAATGTTTGAATTTTAACCGTTGGGCAATGGGAAGCCAGTGGAGGGATTGGCAGAGAGGGATGGAGGACACTGAGTGGAGGTCAATGAAGGGATTGGCAGAGAGGGGTGGAGGACACTGAGTGGAGGCCAGTGGAGGGATTGGCAGAGAGGGATGGAGGACACTGAGTGGAGGTCAATGGAGGGATTGGCAGAGAGGGGTGGAGGACACTGAGTGGAGGTCAGTGGAGGCATTAGCAGAGAGGGATGGAGGACACTGAGTGGAGGTCAGTGGAGGGATTGGCAGAGAGGGGTGGCAGATGGCCACATCATGACCAATGGACCAAAGTTTGTAGACCACTGCTCTAGAACACGGGTGTCAAACTGATGGCCCTCAAGCTGTTGCCAAACTCCCATGAGGCAAACTCGCACGACCTTCTGCTCTCTAGCTCCCTCATCTCCTCCTCCCATGCTTGTCTCCAGGACTTCTCCAGGGCTTCCCCCATCCTCTGGAACTCTCTACCCCAATTTATGAGACTATCGCCTACTCTGCTCACATTTAGGCAATCTCTGAAAACCTCTCTCTTCAGGGAAGCCTATCCTGCCCTCAGCTAATAATGGAATCTTCTACTCTTCCAACCAGTCCATCCCCCACAGTTATTACCTTTTGTACCACTAGCCCCTCCCTCCTAGATTGTAAGCTCCCAGGATCAGGGCCCTCCTATCCCTCTTGTATTGAACTGTATTGTTGCTGTATTGTCTCCCGTTATATTGTAAAGCGCTGAGCAAACTGTTGGCGCCATAAATCCTGTATAATAATAATAATAATAACATTATAAGGCCCATGGGGCACAATTCCTCCCACTGACACCATCAATAGTCTTCCTACTGACACCACTGATAGGGCACTATTCCTTCCATTAACACCAATTGCAGGGCACTATTCTTTCCACTGACACAAATGATGGCACACTATTCCTTGACCTGACACCAACATCGGGGCACTATTCCTCCCACTAGTACCAATGATGGGGCACTATTCTTCCTACTGATACCAAATGGTGGGGCACTAACTGATACCAGTGATGGGGCACTATTCCTCCCACTGATACCAATGATGGGGCACTATTCCTCCCACTGATACCAATGATGGGGCACTATTGCTCCCACTGATACCAATGATGGGGCACTATTCCTCCCACTGATACCAATGATGGGGCACTACCAATTCACTCCTCCCACTGATACCAATGATGGGGCACTATTCCTCCCACTTGTTCCAATGATGGGGCACTATTCCTCCCACTGATACCAATGATGGGGCACTATTCCTCCCACTTGTACCAATGATGGGGCACTATTCCTCCCACTGTGACCAATGATGGGGCACTATTCCTCCCACTTGTACCAATGATGGGGCACTATTCCTCCCACTTGTACCAATGATGGGGCACTATTCCTCCCACTTGTACCAATGATGGGGCACTATTCCTCCCACTTGATACCAATGATGGGGCACTATTCCTCCCACTGATACCAATGATGGGGCACTATTCCTCCCACTGATACCAATGATGGGGCACTATTCCTCCCACTGATACCAATGATGGGGCACTATTCCTCCCACTTGATACCAATGATGGGGCACTATTCCTCCCACTGATACCAATGATGGGGCACTATTCCTCCCACTGATACCAATGATGGGGCACTA